CTGGCTTTGAAACACCGGTGGCATAGTCTCCAGCCTCACAGTTATACCCAACTACCACAGTATGACAAACTGCAGATAAGTTTGTCTCCCTTAGATGTTCCAAACCGCTCTGCTCATTTCCTGGCCTCCCCTGTCCTGCTTGCTTACCCAGCCTGCCCCAGAGGTGCAAACACCCGCTGTCCACTGGTCCCAGGGCTGGCTTACTGCAGCCTGCCCCAGGAGTGCCTCCATGCACACAAACTCTCCATCTTGGGACTATAGGTATTTAAAGCCTTAGAGTAGATGAGATCATTCAGCAGTGACTGTCAACTGGGGCATCAGGCTATGTGGGGGGTGGTTTGGGTTGCTCAATGACTGGTAGTAGGAAGTGCATTAAATGGGCAGGAGCCAGACATGTCAAATGTCCTGCAATGTACAGAGCAGTCACATAACAAAGAGCTACTCACCCCAAATTCCCACTCGTACCCTCACTGAGAAACACTGACCTAGGAACGAGAGTGGGAAGAGAAAAGTGCTGAGCACTGGATAGTCCACTTAGAGGATGGGAGATAAGGAAGAGCAGGCAAGAATATGGGAGATAGGAAGTAACTTTAAGGTCAAACCAGAATTATTCCTGAAATAGTAGTTGTTAGGAACTCTTTGTGCCTTTTTTTCCTTCCATTAACAGAAAAATCAATAGTATATGTTCAGTTGTTTCATAAACAAATGCTATTAAGCACTGACTGAGAATGAGACAGTGTGTTCTCAATCTGTATCCTAACATCTACCACAGAGGCTGGTCTATGATAAATAAGCTCATGAAATGAATGCTACAGGGCTACAGACAAAGGTGCGAATGCTTAGCTACATTGTTTGGGCAAGGCTAACCAGGAAGGAGTGTTTGGATGAGACCTCACTCAAAAGATAGGGAAGATTTTGATACACAAGGATGGAAAGTAGAGTATTCTGAACAGAAGGAGTGTCTCAAGGCAAATCAAACACTAGCTACTTGTATGAGCACCTTCTCTGGGTCAGTCCTGAGCTATGTACTTCCCATCTATTATTTCTCCTCATGGCTTTCCAGCAAGGCAGGTATTATCTGTGACTTATGGATAAGGAAACAGAGACGAAGTAACTTCTCATGCATGGCAATGCCTGTTCTCAAATCCAGGTGCCCCGGACTCCAAAGCTGGGCTCTTCCAACTATGGCTCGTCTGCTTGCCTGGTTTTGAGAGGGACTCTGGAGATTGGTCCAGACTGTGCCAAATGACAGGATTGCAGATAAATTTGGATCTCTCAGAGATACCAGGGATATTCTCTTAGACCATCAAGCCAGGGGAAGATTCCATCCTGTGGGTGTTGGGGGCCTGTGGGAGGTTTTTGAGATACAGTAATAAATGTTTATATGAGTTTTGAAATGCATGAGGGTAGTCGGTAAAACAGATTCTGGAGCATGCTGTCCAGTGTCAAGGAGACAGGAGAAGACCACAACTTTACATCCAAAATATGATCAGAGGGGCTCAAGAAGCATGGTGGCACAGACACAGAAGAAATCCAGCATTCACAGACCTGGGAGGAAGTGCTGGTAAAGTAGTTTTCAGTTTCTAGTTTAAGTATGTTGGTTATGGCAAGTTGCAAAATTCCCATCAAAGTTGCAGAAATACTTGGAGTTAAAAATGTGCCCTAAATTTACTTCAAGAGTTTACCTTTAAGATATTTTTTGATTCCACAACATTGTTGTTGTTGTTATGTGCTGCTGAGTCATCTCAGACTCATAGTGACCCTTCCTTAGGTTTCCAAGGCAGTTATCACTACAGAAGTAGATCGCCCAATCTTCCTTCTGAAGAGTGGCTGGTGGGTTTGAACCGCCAACCTTCTGGTTAGCAGTCAAGTGCCTGAAGCACTGCACCACCAGACCTCCCTACCACAACATTATAACCTAGATAATATTTTCATTTTGGGAATGAAACTGCAAGTAACGAAAAGACCAAGATAAAGAAAAGACCAAAATGGATGTCAGGAGAAACTCTGCAACTTACTCTTAAACAGAGAGCAGCTAAGTTAAATGGAAGAAATGAAGAAATAAAAGAGCTAAACAGCAGATTTTGAAGGGCGGCTCAAGAAGACAAAGTAAGTATTATAATCAAATGTGCAAAGATGCAGAATTAGAAAACCAAAGGGAAGAACACACTCAACGTTTCTCAAGCTCAAAGAACTGAAGAAAAAAATTCAAGCCTCGACTGGCAGTACTGAAGGATTTTATAGGTAAAATGTAGAACAATGCAGGAAGCAGCCAAAGAAGATGGAAAAAAATACAGTCACTGTATCAAAAAGAATTGGTCAACACTGAACCATTTCAGGAGGTAGCATATGATCAAGAACCAATGATGCTGAAGGAAGAAGTCCAAACTACACTGAAGGAACCGGCGAAAAGCAAGGCTCCAGGAATTGACAGAACAGCCATTGGGGATTGGTCCAGATGGTGCCAAATGACAGGATTGGAGCTAAGTCTGGACTTCAACAAACAACTGCAGCACTGGAGGTGCTTACTTGTTTATGCCAAGAAAGCTACCTGGCCAACTGACTGGAAGAAATCCATATTTATGCTCATCCCAAAGAAGGGTGATCCAACCAAATGTGGGAATTATCAAACAATATCATTACTATCACATGCAACTAAAATTTTGCTGAAGATACTTCAAAAACAGTTCCAGCAGTATATTGACAGGGTACTTCCAAAACTTCAAGCTGGATTGAGAAGAGAATGTGGAAGAAGGGATATCATTGCTGATGTCAGGCAGATCTTGGGTGAAAACAAAGAATACCAGAAAGATGCTTACCTGTGTTTTATTGACTACACAAAGGCGTTCGCTTGTGTGGACCATAACAAATTATGGATAACACTGAGAAGAATGAGAATTACAGAACACTTAATCATGTTCATGGGGAATGTGTACAAAGACCAAGAGGCTATCATTTGAACAGAACAAGGGGATACTGCATAGTTTAAAATCAGGAAGGGTGTGTGTCAGGGTTGTATCCTTTCACCATACTTATTCAATCTTTATGAGCAAATAATCTGGCTGGACTATGTGAAGAACATGAAATTAGGATTGAAGGAAGACTCATTAAGAACCTGCAATATGCAGATGACACAACCTTGCTTGCTGAAAGTGAAGAGGACTTGAAGCACTTACTGATGAAGATCAAAGACTGCAGTCTTCAGTATGGATTACACCTCAATATGAAACAAAAATACTCACTGGATCATCATGATAAATGGAGAATGTATTGAATTTGTGAAAGATTTCATTTTACTTGGATCCACAATCACAGCTGTGGAAGAAGTCAAGAAATCAGATGTTGTATTGCACTAAGCAAATCTGCTGCAAGGGTCCTCTTTAAAGTGTTAAAAGAGCGAAGATGTCACTTTGAAGACTACGCCACATCTAACGCACACTATGGTACTTTCAATCTTCTCACATGCATGGACAATGAATAAGAAGACCTAAGAGCAGGTGATGGGAGCTCTGGTAGCATAGTGCCTAAGGCACTTGACTGCTAACCAGAAGGCTGGCAGTTCAAACCCACCAGCCACTCCTCGGAAGGAAGATGGGGCAATCTATTTCCATAGTGATACTGCCTTGGAAACCCAAGGAGGGGTCGCTATGAGTTGGGTCCAACTCCATGGCACATAACAACAACAACAACAACAACAAGAGTTGATGCCTTTGAACTGTGATGTTGGTGAAGAATACTGAAAATATCACAGACTGTCAGAAGAACAAATAAATTTGCCCTGGAAGAAGTGCAGCCGGAATGCTCATAAGAAGCAAGAATAGCCAGAGTTTGTCTCACCTACTTTGGTTATGTTGTGAGAAGGATATCATGCTTGGTAAAGTAGAGAGTCTACGAGAAAGGGGAAGACCCTCAACTAGATGGACTGACACAGTGGCTGCAATGATGGGCTTAAGCATAGCAAAGATTGTGAGGCTGGTACAGGACCAGGCAGCATCTTGTTCTGTTGTACACAGGGTAGCTATGAGTCAGAGCCGACTTGATAGCACCTAACAACTACAATAACTGCAAGTAAAGAGAAAGCAGCCCTCTCCACGTTTACATGAAGACTACATTTGAAAGCAGTTCTGATTCTAAACCTGACAACACCAGGAAGAGAAGTAACCAATAAATGACCTCACTAGCAGCTGTCAAAGGCCCGGTCACTGATGCAGGACCCATCTCAATGGCTGAAAGAAATTTGAGGAAAAGGCAGTGTCATGGGTACAGCATGGCTTTCTCATGGAACGTGGCAAAATGGGCCTCTTTTCTATTGTTGCTGTTCTGTTGTTAGGTGTCGTCAAGTAGATTCTGACTCATAACAACACCAAGCGACAGAGTGGAATTTCTCCATAGGGTTTCCTAGGCTGTAATTTCTATAGGAGCAGATGGCCAGTCTTTTCTCCCATGGAGTAGTTGGGTGAGCATGAACAGCAGCCAAGTACTTAACCACTGTGCCACCAGGGCCCTTTTCTTTCCCATCAGTAACCGAATATAGAAACCATGATCAACGGAAAGGGAACAAACAAATCCAGGATGCTCAGTAATTCATCTATCTGTCTGGAGAAGATGGTATGAATAAATCAAGTTCTTGGCTAGCAGACAGAATTTGAGAGATTTAGTTCTCAGTTATTTTCACAAATCTTAATCGATATATTCAGACAATAAAAACTCCTCTCAATACACAAAACAAACAAAACTCCAACTTTTAAAATTAAAGAGGACAAGAAAGTTGTCAGGACATATTCTGAAAGGCTCCTCAACTCATGTCTTAGCCTTAGATCAACTGTTTGAATCTTCTCCTATTCCAAACCTGGGCTGTAACTTCATGGCGGCTCACAGGTGAGGAAAGGGAGATCTAAAGTTCCCAAAGCAATAAATGCAGCACCTGAACCAGAGCTCTGACTGTGTCCAAAGACAGATTCTCTGAAAGGCTGCCAAAGCCTCTGGGACCGTGTCCTCACCCGGGGCAACTGGTCCCACTGCTCTTTGTTCTTCATCTCTTCTTGCACTTCATGGATCCGCTTCAGAGACTCCAGGCTTTCATCGAGCAAAAACGTCGTGTCATTTATCAACATGTTTATATAGCGAACAAACTGCTTCCCAGAACTGAAAAAGGGAATTACATTGTACATGGTCATACATCTCCCTAAAGCCAAACACCACAGCAGATCCCAGAAAACAATCCTCACCCAGACTGCCACCCTTCTCACCAAAGTTTGCCCATCTCAGCACAACTCAGGTATGCAGAGTTCAAGGACTGCATCTCTTGTTAGATTTTGCTATTAGTATTATTATCAAATACCTTATTATTCTGTTTTTGTTGAGAATGTACACAGCAGAACAGATACCAATTCAATAATTTTTGTTGTTGTTGATTGACACAGAGTGGTCTCCAACTCATGGTGACCTGTATGTTAGAGTAGAACTGCTCCACAGTGTTTTTTGGGCTGTACTCTTTTGTTGTTGTTGCTTTTTAGAGTGTGTGTGTGTATAATATACACACACTGCAAAACATACACCAATTCAACAATTTCTACATGTATAATTTGATGACACTGATTACATTCTTCAGTCATACAACCTTCCCACCTTTCTGTTTTGAGTTTTTTCTCCTCCGTTAACATAAGCTCACTGCTCCCTAAGCCACCTATCTAATCTTTTGGGTGGTGCTGTTGTCAATTTGATCCCATTTGGATAGATCTTGAAAGAGCACAACGCTCAAGGCAGCCATGCCTTACTAAATGATTATTTGGTTTTATGAAGAGTTCAGGGGATAGTTTTGGTTTAAGATGTAAAGATTATTTCAGGAGAACAGTTTCAGGAGTTCATCCAGCCTTCATGGTTCCAGAAAGTCTGGAGTCCATGAGAATTTGAAATTCTGTTCTTCATTTTCCCCCTTTTGATCAGTGATTCATCTTTTGAATCCTGGTAATGGTAGCTGGGCACCATCCAGTTCTTCTGGTCTCATAGCAAAGCAAGCAGTTACTCATGGAGACAATTAGCCACACATTCTATACCCTCCTCCTATTCCTGATTCTCCTCTTTTCTCTGTTGCTCCAGGTGCACAGAGACAAAACTGTTGTGCTTTGGATGACAGAGCCCAGGCACTACACAACAAAACTAAGCACCGGAACAGATGCATTAAAGATGTCATTAGGCCAATTAACTGGGATGTCCCATGAAACCAGGACCCTAAACTACCAAACCAAGGAACTAAATCCCATGAGGGGTTTGCTTATACATAAGCAGCCTCAGCAGTTCTTTTTTATTTTTGTAAATACATCTATCACACAGTGATTTTGCTATTATTCTTAATTAATAGTGATTAACTCATTCCTATAATGTGTTAGAGCCACCTTTCAGGGGTTTATAAGAGCCAGTTGCAAAATAAATATTCTGGAAATTCGTGAGTGGGTTCCTTGGCACTTTATATTCGGCTACAGTGGAAGTGTCTACTCCACAAAAAAAAAAAAAAAGCAAATGCTAGGCTCCCCCGCAACCATGTTTACCAGCATGCCTCTAACTCATTCTCTTGGTGTTTTTAAGTAGACTAAACACTGCTCCATACTAGACAAATGGTTAAACTTACTAAGATACAAAGAAAGCACAAATAACAACCCACATTAGAGACAAAAGACTACTGACAGTTATTCTGCATTATATAAACACATTGAAAAAAAATTAAAACTTGTAATATTGATGTAGTAGGGAAATGAAGCGTCCACTCTAAGGAACAGTCCATCTAAACATGTCACAATGGAAGCCTTGCTGGTGAACTGAGATAGCTTGGCCTACCTCCCTGCAACTCAAACTGCCAGACTAGTACAGAGAAGAGGACATTTCAAGATCAATGCCTAAGTCATGTGGGGGTAGTAAACCCACCCTGGGGAAAAGAAGAGGTTTCTGTGAATAAGACCAGGAGGTCTCAAATTCAGGAACATTAAAGAGTAAGACAAGCCCTCCCAATTACATCATGCAGGTCAAGCTATGGGCCTGCCTGGTCTCCTAGGTGCATCCCAGGACTTTGCTGGAACATAATACTGACCTAGAGCAGTTCACAGAAACAGAGAACTAAAGAATCTGTTCTATAGAAAGCTATCTAGTAATGGTCACTCCATTAACAATACATATATTATTAACTAGGACCTCAGTTAACAAATGACAGTAAGACTTGGTCAAAGTCCCAAAGGTTACAAAAAAGACTCAATTAGGGAATAACATTTCTCCTGAAAAATAACTCAGAGGAGTTCAACATTTTCATCTACCTTTTTTTTATAAACACTGATAGAATATGCAGATGGAATTACTAACAGCCAAGTTTCAATAGTCATTTAAATTTCAGGTAGGTGTATAAAACATACTTAATCAAGGTTTAAGGCTTTACTACAAAGAATGACATTTCAAATGACAACCCTAATCTAACTGCTTCTAAATCTAAAGTTCTCCTACCATTTTTAACTCTAAGGTTTGAGATGATATTTAAGAACACTATTAAGATTTCATTTCCGTCATTCTGCAACTTCATATTCACTATAATCATAGAAACATTAAAAAACACTTAACATATCACCTCAGAATATTTACAGATTCTTTATGTATACCATTCCTGAAGAATCTTGGCAAATCTAAAGTTCAGCCTTATCTTGTAAGCACAGACATTTTGATAACCCTGCCCACATTTAGCAGTACCATCTGGAGAACTTAAAAGGAGGCTGAGACCAAATAAATACAATCAACAACAATCTAGCTGTGAAAGCTTTTAAGCCGCAAGCCTACCTGTGATTTACAAAGGAGTAAGCTGTGATATCAGGGCCCCAATACTCACTTGAACTCTTCCATAAAGGTGCCATGGTGAGCTATGTTTTGCCAAAGGCTTTTGAAAATGGTGCTAATGTGATAGCGAATTGTGAACTTGTCGTAGAACTCGCTGGTGGCTCCGGTGTGTTCAACATCTGAAGAAGAAAGGCAAAGAGACCAGAGGATATGTATTTGCTGCTTTCTCAAAACAGTCACTGCTGCTGCAAAGTTACTGGGTGAATACAATTCTGGAAAATCAGAGGTCTGATAAAATTTCAACTGTATCTGGCATGAAAGGCAGAAAAGAAACTATGAATTGGTTTTAAAATTTAAAAATTTCACAACACAGGTCTGGCAATTTCATGTGTTTATAGACACACAGATACTTCAAATGAGCATCTCTGAGTAGAAAAATTTATTTTTTATTAAGGGCCATGTATCTATTAAATATGTCTTTATTATTTTAAAAACTTTTGTACTATGAACATTTCCAAACATGTACAGTAGAGAAAAATGTAAGTTAATTCCCATATATTCATCACCCAGCTGTACTGATGATCAATATCCCCACTCTTATTACAATGGAACAAAAAGTAAACTTGTTTATCCAAATGACAAACCTTTTAATCATGAGAAATTCCTGAATTCTTGATAAATTTTAAGAGGAAAACTATCAGTAAAGTCAAAGGCTTAAGAAAAAGATAAAACAACAAGTATTGATTTGGGTGAAGCGAAAGGCAATATAAATTATTAAAAAAAAAGTAGTAAACTAATATTTTCCATCTGTCAAATTAGCAAACATTACACAGATGGCAATTCTGAGTGTAGGTGAGGTTTGAAGAAACAAGCACACTAATGAATGACGGTGGGGATGAAAGGTGATACAATTTCTCTAAAGGCAATTTGGCAAAAGGTACCGCAAACAATAAATATGTCCATTCCTCTGAACTACCAATTTTACGCAAGAAAACACTTCCAGGCATATTCAAAGTAGAAAAAATATAATAATCTACTCAACATAAAACCCAAAAAATATCTATGATATATTGTGAAAACTGTAACTTATAAAACATTATACAGTTTGGGCCTAATTATTACACACATTCTCACACATACACACACACACACACCCCCCACCCCTACTCTTCATTTCTCGACTATCTCATTATCCAACATTCACGTCTGCAACAATAGTAAAAAATCTATTTGACTATTTTGCACTTTAATGATGTATGTTTGGCAGTAACAAATGCCAAGGTGTGAGGTAAGAGGAACATAGGCTGTGATGGTTAGGGTTATTTGTCAACTTGGCTGGGCCATGATTCTCAGTGGTTTGGCAATTATATAATGATGTAATCTGGCAGTTATGTAATGATATAGTCATCTTCCATGTCCTCATTACGTCAATTTTTGCATAATGACCTGATCTTGGGAACCTACCCATGTCAGAAAGTAAGGAGTAGGTATATATGTATGTATGTATGTGTGCGTGTGTGTGTGTATGTGTATTTCGAAAGCTATAGCCCAAAATGTTAACAAAGATTCTCTGAGTTAACAGAGATTATCAGCATTTCCTCCTATTTTCTATTTTTTTCCAGTAAATCTATTCTTTTGACTAAAATAGAAAAAAGTTATTTACAAAGAAAAGAAATAAGATGAATAAGACCTACTATACAAAGATCTGAAAGCACTTATGTATATTCATTAAGTCAATCCTCTTTTAAGATGAAGTAAGTGTCACTGCATCAACTGCATACATGTGTGAGCTAAATAGTGTGGAGAGGTGATTTAAGCAGAGGTCAACACGACACCCTTTATGTCATCTAAAACTGTCCATACTGTGTCCTGGATATGTTGTTGTTAGGTGCTGTTGATAGTTTCTGGCTCACAGTAATCCTGCGTACAACAGAACCAAACACTGCCTGGTCCCATGCCACCCTCATAATCGTTGCTATGTAAGCCCACTGTTGCAGCCATGGTGTCAATCTACCTCACTGAGGGTCTTCCACTCTTTTGCTGACCTTTTAGTTTACCAAGCATCATGTCCTTCTCCAGGCACTGGTCCCTTCTGATAACATGTCCTAAGTTAAAGAGTCGAAGTCTCACCATCCTCGCTGATGTTAAGTAACCATTTTTAATGTAACACCTAAACCAAACCCATGGCCACTGAGTTGATTCCAACTCCTAGTGATGCTAATGAACAGACTGGAACTGCCCCATAGGGTTTCTAAGGCTATAATCATTCTCTAGTGGAGTGGCTAGTGTGTTTGAACCTTCCGTTTAACAACTTAGTGCTTAACCACTGTGCCAGCAGGGTTCCTTCACAATACTTTTTCTTTCTTCTAAAGTTCCCTCAAAACTGCACCAGCCTAAGCTCTAATTTCCAAGTCTTAGTTCTAAAAGGACCCCTGCTGGCCTCTTCTCACTCCCTGTATTCCCTCCTTGCTCAGTGTGCTCTGGCCCCTTGGGTCTCCTTGCTGCTCCCTGAATTCAATTAAGCTTGTCTGCATTTCAAGGCCTTTCCAGTTACTCTTACCTTTGCCTGCCAGACTGTGGCCTGACAACATCTTAAGGTTCAATCTTTTGCTCATTTCTGATGTTAAACAAAGGCCATCTCTGCAGAGAACTTCCCTGACTACTGTGCTTAAAGGAGCTCCATCCCCTCCACCCACACGTGCAATCTGGACTGTCTTGATTCAGCAAGGCAGGGACATCTTCACCACTGGGTCTTAAGCATTGAAAACAGTGCTAACACATAGTAGGGGCTTCATAAATACTTGCTGAATTAGTGACTGAATCCATTTTGGCTAATGCTGGTCTTACTGATTTAGATCACTTTTGGTAAGGAGAATTCTAGTTTATCAGCGCTCTTCTAAGCTCTAAGTAGCCCCAAGCACTAGGAGTTGCTGCCTAAGGAACTGGCTGCTGTAATATAGTTTTATTTTGAAACTATTTTTCAAACAAAAATCTGAGCTTCAGTATTTTCAATTTTAGGAAATGTGGTGTAAGAGAGTCAGTTCCATATACCTTTATCTTTCCTATGGTGACTAATTCACTTGGTGCTGGCTCTAAGAGTCAGACATGTTCAGGATCGAGGCCCTAGATCAGTGGGTCTTAGCTATAGGGCTCATGGACACCTAGGGAGCATACATGGTGTCCCCAGCAGGGGATCCTTTCTTGTTCTGACGAAGTCCCAGCCCTGCTCCATTCTTCCAAGGCCTTGGGCCTGTCAGGTCAGCTCCCCCTTCCACATGGCGCTTTCTATCAGGCCCCTCCTGCCTCTCGTTAACAGTGGGAAGAACACACAGCAATAAGGAGCACCTGCCCAACTGCTGCAGTCCAACTGCCGAGGCTGCTGCGTCTGCCACTCCCTGGCTGTCGACCTTCAGCAAGCTTCTTGACCTCCCTAAGCTTCAGTTTCCTCATTTGTAAAATGGAGATATTTATAGCACCCATTTTTAGGACGGCTGTGAGCATTAAGTGAAAGGATTAGTAAGGACTCAATAAGTAGTGGCTATTATTAGTACAAGTATCATCTATCCAGGGCCAGAGGGCACACTGTTCCACAGCAGAGAGGAAAGGGACAGTACCCACCTGCCACCTCCTGGAGCATCACCAGTGGGGCTCCACCAGGCAAGAGGCCTAGCTCTGTTTCTGTCCTCTGCATGCATGCATGTGCACACATGCATGCATGTACATACACTTAATCCTAAAGCCACAATGACAGGCCCAGGTCACTAACTAGGTACAAAATTCATTTAATTAACATATATACACATACATATTAATACAAATAATACATGCTTGTTGTTCAGGTAAATTTAAAGAAAAAGAAAGCTTTCCATAATTCTACCATTTAAAAATAACCAACTCACTGTTAATATCATGATATATATCCTTCCCTGTGTTTTCCTATTATATATGCATGTGCTATATATATATTGCTTCATTACTTGGCATTTTCTTTATTTTTGTTACTTAGCCAGTAACTGTACATAACACAACATTATTTTCCGTGGTTCGTCTAGGCCCAGTGCACAGATAAACAAATGAATTTATTTATCTAAAATTGGTGTTAAGTATAGGTTGTTTGTAATAATTTCACTACAATGTACTATAAGTAATGCTATAGTGGATATCATTCTAGATAAAACTTTACGTGTATTTATAATTATTTCTCTAGAATAAATCAGTAGAAATTAAATTCAAAGTAAAAGGGTATGCTGGTTATTCAGCTATCATCTCTCAGCTCCAAAGCTGCTCTTTATACTTTGTTTTGCGATGCTGGGGCTAGGACTCTGCAAACCACATTTTTGCTTTGCCAGTTGGCCATCTGCTAGGTTCGCCAATAGAGACAGCAGGGAAATTGGAAAACTGGGAGAAGGAACGTGATTCTTTGGTCTGCTTGCTGTTGCTGTCAGCAATGGCTCTTTACCCTGTGGTGACAGCTGGCTCCAGTTTCCAGATTTGTTCTGCCCTTCCAGAACTAGCAACCTTGCACCCCCACCCCCCACCCCCAGAGACACCAACACCAGCCACCAGAGTCCCTTCCTCAGAGATATGGGTCCCAGCTCTGGGAAGCCCTCAGTTGAGCTTCTAGGTTCTAGTAACCAACTGCTCTATTGTTCTTTGTCCACCAGCCCTAGGGACAGATGATGGCTGCTTCCTATAATCTGTGTTACTCCAACGTTCTGTCTTTGCCTTTTCAGTCTTCCAAAATATCTACTTGACCAGTTTCTATATTAAATTCTCTATCCTAAAATAAAATAGGTATGTTTGTGCTTTCTTGACTAAATCTTGGGTAATAAAAACATTTTTAAGGCTTTCAATATGGACTGCCAAACTGCCTTACAGAAAAGCTTTATCAATTCTCATGAGTTTCACAGTGCTAATTTTGTATACTGGCTATAAACCAAAACCAAACTCACTGTCATTGACTTGCTTTTGACTCACAGTAACCCTGTAGGACAGAGGAGAACTGCCTCATAGGGTTTCTAAAGCTGTAAATCTTTACAGAAGCACACTGCCTCATCTTCTGTGGAGTGGCTGGTGGGTTTGAACTACTGACCTCCTGGTTAGCAGCCAAATGCTATAACCATTTGCCGCACCGGAACTACTCACATTGGCTACCAGATAGATCAACTAGGTTTTTGCAGGTTACTTTATTTTTCTACAACTATGTTAGCATTTAAAAAATAAGTGATAGGTGAAAAATGGCAGCTCACTGTTATTTTAAGAAACGAAGAATCATCTTCAGCATAACCAAGTCTGCTCTTTTTGATACTATGCTGTCCTGTCCTGACATGTGTGATGCTCCATTTGTAAAGTTGTTACCCACTGTCCTCTGCTAGCAGGGCTAGGGAATGAAATAACAGGACCAGGGAGCCAAAAAAGGGGCCTTCTGCCCCAGTTTTTAAAGTAAAGATGCTAACAGTACTTCAAGGGCTGTGGACTTACTCTAGGTTTAAGAAGCTCTGGGTAGACTGATGAAGGGGAGAAACTCTTATTGTTGTTGCTATTGTTGTATGCTGTAGAGTCAATTCCAACTCATAGAGACCCTATAGGACAGAATAGACCTACTCCATGGGGTTTCCAAAGCTGTAAAATTTTGCAAACGCAGACTGCCTCATCTTTCTCCCATAGAGCAGTTGGTGGGTTTGAATCTCCAACCTTTTGGTTAACAGTCCTGAATGCCTTAACCACTGAGCCACCAGAGCTCCCTGTCACTTGCTTTGAGTGGAGTCCAAAAACAAACATTTTTAACAAGCTCACTGTTTTACTCACACTTTGGAAACTATGGTTAGAACCAATGCTGTAGGTTCAAAGCCAAAACAAACTAGATAATTTCACTCAGATGATTCAGATGAAAATACCAACTTGTGTTGTTGAAATCAATTGGATCTTAATGCTAACCATCTCACTTTCAATGGATGCTGATGAAGCAAGAGAATTAGTAATCTTTCCACTCAAAAAAAAAAAAAAAAAA